AAACAAAGCAGTCAAGTGTAAACAAAGCAGTCAAGTGTAAACAAAGCAGGCAAGTGTAAACAAAGCAGTCAAGTGAAAGTAAATACAGCAGTCAAGTGTACACAAAGCAGTCAAGTGTAAACAACGCAGCCAAGTGTAAGGAAATCAGCCAAGTGTAAACAAAGGAGTCAAGTGTACACAAAGCAGTCAACTGAAAACAAAGCAGGCAACCGAAACAATGCAGTCAAGTGTAAACAAAAACTGTTAACTTAAACGACGCAGTCAAGTGTACACAGAGCTGTTAACTTAAACGGAGCAGTTAAGTGTAAATAAAGCTGTCAACTTAAACGAGGCAGTCAAGTGTAAATAATGCTGGTAACTTAAACGAGGTAGTCGAGTGTAAATCAAGCTGGTAACTTAAACGAAGCAGTCAAGTGTAAATAAAGCTGTTGACTTAAACGAAGCAGTCAAGTGTAAATAAAGCTGTTAACTTAAACCAAACAGTCAAGTGCTTAAACAATATGTTAACTTAAACGAAGCAAGTCAAGAGTACATAGAGCTGTCAAGTGTAAACGAAGCAGTCAAGCGTAAAAAAAGCTGCTAACTTACACGAAGCAGTTAAGTGTAAATAAAGCTGTTAACTTAAACCAAACAGTCAAGTGCTAAAACAATATGTGAACTTAAACGCAGCAAGTCAAGAGTACATAGAGCTGTCAAGTGTAAACGAAGCAGTCAAGCGTAAATAAAGCTGCCAAGTGTGAACGAAGCAGTCAAGTGTAAATAAAGCTGTGAAGTGTAAACGAAGCAGTCAAGTGTAAATAAAAGCTGTCAAGTGTAAACGAAGCAGTCAAGTGTAAATAAAGCTGTTAACTTAAACGAAGCAGTCAAGTGTAAATAAAGCTGTTAACTTAAACAAAACCGTCAAGTTGTTAAATAAAGTTGTTAACTTAAACAAAGCAGTCAAGTGTAAATACAGCTGTTAACTTAAACGAAGCAAGTCAAGAGTACATAAAGCTGTCAAGTGTAAACGAAGCAGTCAAGTGGAAATGTAGCGGTCAAGTGTAAACAAAGCAGTCGCGTGGAAACAAAGCTGTTAACTTAAACGAAGCAGTCAAGTGGAAACAAAGCTGTTAACTTAAACGAAGCAGTCAAGTGTAAATAAAGCTGTGAACTTAAACAAAGCAGTCAAGTACAAACAAAGCTGTTAACTTAAACGAAGCAGTCAATGGTAAATAGAGCTGTCAACTTAAACGAAGCAGTCAAGTGTAAGTAAAGCTGTCAACTTAAACGAAGCAGTCAAATGTAAATTAAGCTGTTAACTTAAACGAAGCAGCTAAGTGTACATAACGTGTGTTAACTTAAACGAAGCAGCCAAGTGTAATTAAAGCTGTTTTTCTTAAACGAAGCAGTCAAGTGTAAATAAAGCTGTGAACTTAAACGAAGCAGTCAAGTGTAAACAAAGCTCTTAACCTAAGCGAGGCAGCCAAGTGTAAATGAAGCTGTTAACGTAAAAGAAGCGGTCAAGTGTAAATAAAGCGGTTAACTTAAGCGAAGCAGTCAACTGTAAATAAAGCTGTTAACTTAAGCGAAGCAGCCAAGTGCAAATAAGGCTGTTGACCCAAACGGAGCAGCCAAGTGTAAACAAAGCTGTTAACTTAAACGAAGCAGTCAAGTGTAAATAAAGCTGTTAACTTAAACGAGGCAGTCAAGTGTAAACAAAGCTGTTAACGTAAACGAAGCAGTCCAGTGTAAATAAAGCTGTTCACCTAAACCAAGCAGTTAAGTGTAAATAAAGCTGTTAACTTAAACGAAGCAGTCAAGTGTAAAGAAAGCTGTTAACTTAAACGAAGCAGTCAAGTGCAAACAAAGCTGTTAACTTAAACGAAGCAGTCAAGTGTAAATAGAGCTGTCAACTTAAACCAAGCAGCTAAGTGTAAATAAAGCTGTTAACTGAAACGAAGCAGTCAAGTGCAAATACAGCTGTTAACTTAAATGAAGCGATCAACTTCAATCACAGCTGTGAACTTAAGTGTAAAGAAGACTGTTATCTTAAACGAAGCAGCCAAGTGGAAATACATCTGTTAACTTAAACGAAGCAGTCAAGTGTAAATAATGCTGTTACCTGAAACAAAGCAGTCAAGTGTAAAGAAAGCTGTTAACTTAAACGAAGCAGTCAAGTGTAAACAAAGCGATTAGCTCAAACAAAGCAGTCAAGTGTAAATAAAGCTGCTAACTTAAACGAAGCAGTCAAGTGTACATAAATCTATTAACTTAAACGAAGCAGTCAAGTGTAAAGAAAACTGTTGACCTCAACAAAGCTGTCAAGTGTTAAAACAGCTGTTAACTCAAGTGTAAATCAAGCTGTTAACTTAAACGAAGCAGTCAAGTGTAAATAAAGCTGTCAAGTGTCAACGAAGCAGTCAATTGTAATCAAAGCTGTTAACTTAAACGATTCAGTCAAGCGTAAATAAATCTGTTAACTTAAACGAAGCAGTCAAGTGGAAACAAAGCTGTTAACTTAAACGAAGCAGTCAAGTGTACATAAAGCTGTTAACGTAAACGAGGCAGTCAAGTGTAAATATAGCTGTAAACTTAAGCGAAGCAGCCAAGTGTAAACAAGACTGTTAACTTAAACGAAGCAGTCAAGCGTAAATAAAGCTGTTAACTTAAACGAAGCAGTCAAGTGTAATCAAAGCTGTTAACCTAAGCGAAGCAGTCAAGTGTAAATTAAGCTGTTAACTTAGACGAAGCACTCAAGTGTAGATACAGCTGTTAACTTAAACGAAGCAGTCATGTGTAAGTAAAGCTGTTACCTTAAGCGAAGCAGTCAAGTGTAACTAAAGTTGTTAACTTAAACAACGCAGTCAAGTGCAAATAAAGCTGTTAACGTAAACGAAGCAGTTCAGTGGAAATAAAGCTGTCAAGTGTGAACGAAGCAGTCAAGTGGAAACAAAGCTGTCAACTGTCAACGAAGCAGCCAAGTGTAAATAAAGCTGTTAACTCAAACGAAGCAGTCAAATGTAATTACATCTGTTAACTTAAACGAAGCAGTCAAGTTTTCAATTAAAGTTGTCAACTTAACGGAAGCAGTCAAGTGTAAATAAAGCTGTCAAGTGTGAACGAAGAAGTCAAGTGTAAATAAATCTGGTAACTTAAACGAAGCAGTCAAGTGTAAGTAAAGCTGTTAACTTCAACGAAGCAGTCAAGTGTAAACAAAGCTATCAACTTAAACGAAGCAGTCAAGTGTAAATAAAGCTCTTAACTTAAACGAAGCAGTCAAGTGTAATCAAAGCTGTTAACCTAAGCGAAGCAGTCAAATATAAAATTATGCTGTTAACTTAGACGAAGCAGTCAAGTGTAGATACAGCTGTTAACTTAAACGAAGCAGTCATGTGTAAACAAAGCTGTTACCTTAAGCGAAGCAGTCAAGTGTAACTAAAGTTGTTAACTTAAAAGAAGCAGTCAAGTGCAAATAAAGCTGTTAACGTAAACGAAGCAGTCCAGTGAAAATAAAGCTGTCAAGTGTGAACGAAGCAGTCAAGTGGACTGTCAACTGTAAACGAAGGAGCCAAGTGTAAATAAAGCTGTCAACTTAAACGAGGCAGTCAAGTGTAAATAATGCTGGTAACTTAAACGAGGCAGTCAAGTTTTCAATTAAAGTTGTTAATAGTTGTTAACTTAAAGGAAGCAGTCAAGTGTAAATAAAGCTGTCAAGTGTGAACGAAGCAGTCAAGTGCAAATAAGGCTGTCAAGTGTCAACGAAACAGTCAAGTGTAAATAAAGCTGTTACCCTAAACGAAGCAGTCAAGTGTAAGTAAAGCTGTTAACTTCAACGAAGCAGTCAAGTGTAAACAAAGCTATCAACTTAAACGAAGCAGTCAAGTGTAAATAAAGCTGTTAACTTAAACGAAGCAGTCAAGTGTAATCAAAGCTGTTAACCTAAGCGAAGCAGTCAAATATAAAATTTTGCGGTTAACTTAGACGAAGCAGTCAAGTGTAGATACAGCTGTTAACTTAAACGAAGCAGTCATGTGTAAATAAAGCTGTTACCTTAAGCGAAGCAGTCAAGTGTAACTAAAGTTGTTAACTTAAGAAAAGCAGTCAAGTGTAAATAAAGCTGTTAACGTAAACGAAGCAGTCCAGTGAAAATAAAGCTGTCAAGTGTGAACGAAGCAGTCAAGTGGACTGTCAACTGTAAACGAAGGAGCCAAGTGTAAATAAAGCTGTCAACTTAAACGAGGCAGTCAAGTGTAAATAATGCTGGTAACTTAAACGAGGCAGTCAAGTGTTCAATTAAAGTTGTTAACTTAAAGGAAGCAGTCAAGTGTAAATAAAGCTGTCAAGTGTGAACGAAGCAGTCAAGTGTAAATAAGGCTGTCAAGTGTCAACGAAACAGTCAAGTGTAAATAAAGCTGTTACCTTAAACGAAGCAGTCAAGTGTAAGTAAAGCTGTTAACTTAAACGAAGCAGTCAAGTGTAAACAAAGCTACCAACTTAAACGAAGCAGTCAAGTGTAAAAAAAAGCTGTTAACGTAAACGAAGCAGTCAAGTTTAAATAGAGCTGTTAACTTAAAGGAAGCAGTCAAGTGTAAATATAGCTGTTAACTCAAACTAAGCAGTCAACTGTAAATAAAGCTGTTAACTAAAGCGAAGTAGTCAAGTGTAAACAAAGCAGTCAAGTGTAAACAAAGCTATCAACTTAAACGAAGCAGTCAAGTGTAAAAAAAAGCTGTTAACTTAAACGAAGCAGTCAAGCGTAAATAAAGCTGTTAACATAAACGAAGCAGTCAAGTGGAAACAAAGCTGTTAGCTTAAACGAAGCAGTCAAGTGTACATAAAGCTGTTAACTTAAACGAAGCAGTCAATTGTAAATAAAGTTGTTTTATCTTAAACGAAGCGGTTAACTTAAACCAAGCAGTCAAGTGTAAAGGAAGCTGCCAACTTAAACGAAGCAGTCAAGTGTAAATAGAGCTGTTAACCTAAACGAAGCAGTCAACTTAATCCTGGCTGTTTTTGCTGAGGTCATTCCAGCTTGAGCGTCGAAATGAACGCCTCGAGTGGTAGTTTCTCACCTTCGCTTTACGTCTCGGGTGGAGCCTGTAGTTTGATTCCCCTGCATGTCGTACAGCCCCCTTGAGGCCAGTTCCTTAGTCGCATGCTGGAATTGACTAGCTTTCCAGGATGTCAAGGCATCCCAGCTGAGACCGCGCAGAAGCTTGCAGAAACACAAAGACTTGAGAAGATGCTGGTGCTCGCATGCTTGTTGCATGGGGAAGCCATGGCTAATGGCTTGCAGGGCACTTCTTGCGGTGACGGAGTGACTGGCCGCGCCGCATCTGCTTTGACTTCAAGACACTCACCAGCTTGAGCCGCAAAGTGATGGAGCCGGCGCTCGAAACAGAGCAGCCAACCCCAGTTGTTCCGAGGCAAGGACAGGTTGGCGTGAAGTGGCGAGTTGCTGACAAGTTGTCAGGTCACGCTGCCCTTGTAAAGGCCGCTGTGGCGCCCTCATCCGTCATCCGAGCACACTGGCATAACGGGCGTCAACTGTGCGCGCAGGGAGCGTTTGTCGGCGAAAGAGGTTCTGCCACATCCTTGGACAGCATTTTCGGTGCACAGATGAAAGGCGTTAACTGCAAGCGCGTTTCAATATTTTCTGGAGGGGCTGCCGTGGCAGTCGTTGTGCTCCTGTGCGGGGCTATTTGGCTTGGCGTTGCTCAAGCACAGGCCAGAAGCGCTCAACCCTTTAAATGTTGCGGTTGCACAGTGAGGCCACGGTAAACAATTACTCCGAGCAGACAGCAGTGAGGCTGGGGCTAGGGCCACTTCATTTCCCAGAGTTCCTTTTGCGTTAGATTGGCCCAGCTTGCCGGCGCTGCCTACTGCTCGGATGCATCGTTGGAGGACGGCCTGCTTGTTTGGCTTGCCTTGCTTGCCTTGGCCGATGTGAGCTGCGCAAGTGTTAGGCATGGGACTGTGGCAGCAAGTGCCTTCCATCAGTGCAAGGGCCGGTCAAGGCGCGGCTCTCAGACAGATACATGATATGATACATGGTGCCTGCCACTTGCCGTCCTTTGCGTTGAGGTGTGCCACGGAGAGACCACCCAAGCTTTCGTGGCTGAATGGGAGGCACGGGTCTGGGGGGCTGGGCATGTCTGATTGTGGCGGGCTAAGGGGGCCGCCTTGGTGAGCTTTGAGGGCACCAAGAGCTACCTCTCCATGATTCAAGCACGCTTTCTTAAGTGCCGACTTTCACGAGATTCATACGCTGCATGGGTGTCTGTGCAAGGATTTGCGCATTTGGAAGAACCTCACAGACTGGAAATCGCACGGCAAGGCGCGATGCGTCAAGCTCAAGAGGCAGCGGCTTACGCTTTGTTTAAGGGGCCAAGGAGCCAAGGATTAGTTAATCTGTGGCGCCCTTGTGAAGACCTTATGACCTACTTGCGAGCATTCCCCGACAGCCATGCCACGTGAAAATCTGATGGCGCACCATGGCTCCAGGTCCACGATGGCTTCCTCCAGGCCCAAGACCGTGGCCAAACTTGGCTCAACTTCCAATGAGTCCGTTGAGTCCGTTAAGTCCATTTTCGCCATTTTGGCATGGGTGACCTGCCAGGAGTGGGAGAGCCTCCGCGACTGTGTCCGCAACGCTCTGGCACACCACTCGAAGCTTCGTGCCTGGAGCCCTGGGGTTAAAGGATTTGAAAGGATTTCAAGGCTTTGAGCTCCGTGCACAGTGCGCCCAAACTGCAGGTTACCGGTCACTCCTTGGGGGGTGCAGTCAGCCGCTTGTCTCACTTTGTCCCGAAAAGGATCCCAAAGGCCAGCATTCCGACGCAGCACGCTCGCAGGCACGCTGGCGATGGCCTTGCCGGTATGTTTTGCCGGCCCCTCCCCACATGTTCGTCTCTCAGTGGCATGCATCGCTGGGCCTTTGCAGGTCGACTTGGCGACAGAGGGCTGGAACGTCATGGGTGCCTATACCTTCGGGATGCCCAGGGCTGGCGATGCTGAGTTTGCACGAACCTTTGATGGCATGTGCGGCACCCAGATGCCATGCCCATTTGTCATTTGCGGGAAGGTTTCCCTCTGCGGCAAAGCTTGCAGGTTCTTTCAGAAGTTCTACAGGGCCGGGGCCTTGACGCAGTGTCGTCTGCTCATGTGCGTGCCGCGTGCGCAGAGGTCACACACCACATGGACCCAGTGCCGCATGTTCCTCCCGAAAACCTGGGCTTTTCGCACCTTGCCTCGGAGGCAGCTTGCGGCGATTGGGCGTTCATAGAATGCATGCCGCATCCTCAGGTCTTCTACGACGGGGATGTGAGCCACGGGTTCAAAACTTGTGCCCAGGCAAGGCTTTTCGGCTTCTGCGTCGCGTCTGGGAGAAACTTGAATCCAGGCGGAAGACGAGAGTTGTGCTGGCAAGTACTGGGATGTGGTGCTGGATCTGTTCCACGTCAACGACCATCTGGACCGTGCATGAGCCACACAGCCTGTGCACTGACCTTACCTATCCTCACATACCCGCACATGTCCTTGCATGCCTTTCCAGGACTACATGGGGCAGAACACAGGGTCAAAGGGGTGCAAGGACCGAGCTTGGCAAAGAGTCACAAGAGTCCTGCCTCGGAAGCATGCAGGCCTTGGCCTCACAGCCGCAAGCTGCGGCTGGAGCCGTGGTCGTTTAGGCTACAGGCTACCTTCCCGGATGTCTCACCTACGTGCAACAAAGCTTTGCACAGTTGTGAGCCCAACGGAGGTTCAGCCAAGTGAGCCCAACGGTGGTTCAGCCAACAGTGCCTCAAGGTGCCTCACACTTTCATGGGGAGCCCGTGATGACTTGCGGCAGAAAGTGGCGAGATTCACGCACGGACCGAAGCCACCTCACCTCAAGAGAGTAGACAAACCTAAGCCCATGATGCGCGATGCAGCCAGCAGCAGCTGCAACCACCACAATCAGCTAGGCTCTTGTTGCCAACGAGCTTGCTATGTGAAGTAGAGTTTCGATCCACTACATCCATTGCGAGCTTGAGCAGCCGTTTGACATTGTGGAAACCCCATTCTTGCAGCAACCTCGGCCGACAAACGCACTTTGATTCACTGGGATTTCTTGGAGTGGGGATGACCGGTGGCGCCAATTGCAACTGGCATTGACAGCATTTCACTTCGTGCAGGGCGATATCAAATCTAGAGCGAATCTGATTGAAGAGATCGATGCTTATGCCTGCCACAGTGAAGGAGTGCTGGAACAGATTTGCAAAAATGGGAATATTGATAGAGTTGGAGTGTTGGCTCGCAGCAACTTTCACATCATTGAATGCAGCGACGAACGATGCCGATCTCCTGATGTGCTGTGCGTAACCTGTTGAATTAGCGTGCTTCAGCAGCACAGACAAGCTCGAGCCATTGCCTGCAAACGGAGAGAATCACGTTTTAGAACGACCCTGACTGTACCTGATTCTGGCCTTTAAGGCTTGGGTCATGTACGGCCAGGGTCGTTCTAAATTTGTTCGTGAGACGGCTGGCCAACTTTGCATTTCCGTCTTGCATCACAGCTTGCATATGTTTCATCTACCTGCCTCTTCTCCTGGCGCAACGCATTCTCAGAAAACGTCATATTACAGCCCACGTCGCCATTGTGCCAATACTTGGGATATGCAGGCAGTTGAATATTCTTTGTGAGACGGCTGGCCTGGCCGGGCCAGCAGTTTGACAAGAAATCACCCACATGCAATAGTGACTAGCGATTCTTGCACAGTTGCGGGCAACAAGGGACCCAGCAATTTGCATGCTTGTGCTTGGTTTTTTGTTGGGTTTAACTTGAGGCATGACTTTTTGCGTCCATGGGGCCTCAAGAGGGGGGGTGTTCTGGTTGGGCAAACAAAGCGATGCCCCTTAGCATGGAACCCCGAAAAGAGGTCGCCCAAAAGGAGGTCTGCGTTCCTTCAGCTTGGTGGCCCAGCCAATGTTCAGCCATGAAAGGGCTGCCTCGGCCGTTTGTCAGATCTGGCAAGGCAACGGGGACCCCAACGGGCGCATGGGGAATCTCATGGGAATTTTCAGAATGCCAGAGACTCTGAGTTGCCTTGGCTCAAGAGTGGCCCTCAAACGAGCCTGCCGCCATGGCCTTAGAGGTCCGCACGCACGATCGCATCATTTTGTGTTGGCTGCACCGTGACTCAAGCAACTCAAGTGCCTCAAGTGACTCAGGTTCTGGAGTTCTGGATCATGGCAGCCATGGCAATGGCAGCTTCCAGCGTGTCGGGAAACGCACGGGCTCTCTCTTTGTTGCCGCTGAAGGCAGGTTCCGAGCCGTCCAGCCAAGCCAATGTTGTCCGAGTCTAGGAACCATCGTGCCGGCCTTGAAGATCGCGGAGACGCACCAACGCTTGAGTGTGCGACGTGCCCCAGCTAAGGTCACCAAGCATGTCAGGCACCCGGCACCCCGGCACCGGCACGTAGGCAGAAATGTTGGATCCATGCGCAGATGCGCGGATCACACGCGGATCACAGCTCCGAGGTTTCCTTCTCGAGCGTTCGCAAGCCCAAAGCTGCTTCCAGCTTAGATGCATGCACCGATTCGCGTGAACCATGCTGAAGATGAGGCGCGGCACGCCAGCATCTCCACAGGCTGAGCAATGGGCAGTGGACCTGCCACGTCACAATGTTTGGAGCTCCCGAGGGGGATGGTCTGCATGGAGGCTCAAGCATCATGGATGATACTTGCAGCTCTGAGCCATGGCTGAGCCGAGGGCAAGATGTCCAGGCACGGGATCGGAACGGACATGGAATGTCCGGGCTGTGGTACTTCTGTTGGGGGACCAGGTGGCACTGGGCTCAGAGACTCTGACAGGCTCCTGAAGATGCTGCCTCGTGTTTGTCAAGGCGGGGGTGCGAGTGAGTCGCTTCGATGAGCAATGCCCTCTGCACGCTGCTAGATTCCTCTTGATCCTGTTTGATCCCTCTTCATCTGGTCCTGATTCCTTGATCGTCTCGATTTTGCTGCCTCTTCGGCAGGTACACCTTCTGGTGGGGCTGGCCCAGCATCCGTGCAGCAAATCAGAAGGGCTGCCTTTTGCAGGGGGATCTACCCAAACTGCCCCGTGTCGATGACCCGGACTACCTCTTTCAAAGATGTGCAGCTCTTTGGAAAACCCAGCGGGGAGACAAAGCAGGACTTTTGCGCTCCATATGCTGGAGGATTCAGTGGAGGATCTTCCTGTACTCTTTGCTTCATGGCTGGATGTTCCTTTTCTTCATGACTGTTGACCCATTGATGCTCCGCGTGCTATTGGACGCAGTGCAGAATGCAAACAGCAAGCAGAGCATCAGCTTCGTCACGCAGTTGTGCATAGTTTGCGCCCTCAGCATCTCCATGCTGACACGGGTCACGTGTATGGAGATTTGTTACTTTGCCTCCTGCCGCGTGCAGAACAATGTACGCTCTGTGCTTGTCCACGCCATTTTCCGGAAGTCGCTGTGGATTCCAGACCACTTGTTGGACATCGGTCGCATTTCCAACCTCATGGCAACCGATGCGGACAAAATCGGCAAGTGGTCTGGCCTGCTGTTCAGCTTGTCTCAGTGGTCCTGGACGATCATCTCCCTGCCCATGCTGGTGTATTTCCTGCATGGGTTGGTGGGTTCGTCGGCCTTCATTGGCATGGCAATGATCATCGTGGGGGCGGCCACGTCCCGGTGGCTGGGCCTGTGCCTGCAGGTGCATACGCGGGTGGTCCAGGAGTGCCGGGACGCGCGTGCCACGCTGATGAGCGAGATGGTGCGGGGCATCCGCACCGTGAAATTGCAGGTCTGGGAGCCCATTTGGCTTCAGCGCATCTCGGAGGCACGCGCCAGGGAGATGCGGGCCGTGGTCAAGGTCCGCATCATTCAGGCCTTCAATTCTTTGATCGGGTCTGTGCTGAGCGTCATGGTGCCCGTCACCATCTTCGCCTGGTATGCCATTGTCATCGGCAAGGAGCTCGATGCAGTCACCTGAGTGAACTTGCCTCCTTTTGTTCTCATCCTTTGTCTACGACTTGCTGTGAGCTGGGGTGAGTCCTCAAAGAGGGAGTATTTCGGTTTGGGGTTATTTGTTTGGTGTCTTTTGTTTGGTCTTGCAGTCCATTCGTGTTGCATCCCCAGGCAACGGCTTTCACAACGCTGGGCTGGATCTCCACGCTTCAGTGGTCCGTGCAGTCCCTGCCAGGCATCTACAACACGGTGGCCAATTTGACGCCAAGCCTCACGCGGATCGACCGCTTTCTCACAGCTTCAATTTCTGAACGGACAGCGAGGCCGGGATCCGAGACAGAGATGGAGATGGCGGAGATGACAGTCACATCAATGTCTGGAGCTGGCGCAGGCGGCACGGGCTCTTGGCGCCAGGAACCTTGGCTCAACACAGATGGCTCGTACGATGCTCCACACGATACGGCCGGAGCAGCAGTGGAAGTTCAGAACGCTGCCTTCGGCTATAAGTCGCCCGACTTGGTAGAGACACGTATCCTGCAAGGCGTGAACTTGCAAGTCAAGGCAGGTAGCTTCGTGATGATCGCCGGACCTGTGGGCAGTGGCAAGAGCACTCTCTTGGCGTCTCTGGCTGGTGCGCGGCCGGCCCTGAGCGGGCTTTGCCGTGTGCGGGGCCTACGGGCCTTCGTGCCGCAGAAGCCGTTTCTTCTCAACGGCTCGGTGAAGGAAAACATCCTCTTTGGCCTCCCATGCGACCAGGAGAGGTACGAGTCAGCCTTGCAGACGGCAGCTTTGCCGGAAGACTTGAAAACGCTTTCGCGTGGGGATGCGACTATGGTGGGCGAGAGTGGTGCCAGCGCCTTAGTTTGCTTGGCTTAGCTCTGAACTGTCATGCAGATGTTGGCCATAGAAAGGTGATAGAGTGTGCTCATTTTCAGGGCAGATGCAGGCGACACACCTGAGATGACAATGCCTGGCATCCTCACCTGTAGCTAGTCACACTGATCTCCGCCAAGGTTCAACTTTCTGGAGGTCAGAAGGCACGTGTGGCCCTAGCTCGAGCAATTTACTCCGATGCAGATGTGATTTGCTTGGATGACGTGCTGAGCGCGGTGGATGCACATACTGCCCGATTTATTTGGGAGAAGTGCTTCACTCAGGGCTTTCTGAAGTTGAAAAAGACGGTCATCTTGGTGAGCCACCAAATTCAGTACTTGTCGCGACCAGAAGTGAATTCCGTGGTGATCCTGCGAGAGGGGCGTATTTGGCTTCAGGGTTCGTGGGGTGAGCTGGCCCGCAGCGGCGACGCGTTTCTCAACTTGGTCGAGGAGTGGGAAGAGATGGAAGAGGAGGATGCCGGAGAAAAGGCAGAAAGCAAAGAAAGCAAAGAAAAGCCAAGGGAGCATCAGCGTTCCGTGGACAGCCAGGTTGGCCTGCATGAGTGCCAAAGTGCCGTGGCCTCAGTGCTCGGCGCCTTGGAGGGCCGAAGGATCAACGGCTCGTTGATCCAGAGCGTGAGGCGCTCGTTGGCCGGCGAGGCGGAGCTTGAGGCAGACCTCGTCCGAGAGGGCACCATTTCCTGGACGGATTTCCGGGTCTATTTGGAGGCCTTCGGGTCCAGCACCGTGATTTGCATCATGCTGCTGCTCATGGTCTTCTCAGCCGTGAGCCAGATTGCCTCCACCCTTTGGCTCGCAGCCTGGACGAGCAACCGGGACTCAGACCAGGAAAAGAACGTGCTCGTCTATTTCTTCATCAGCGTATCAACGAGCCTGGCGAACTGTGCGCAGGCCATCCTTCTCACGGTGTGCGCGTTGGCAGCTTCTCGCACAATCCACCAGAAGATGCTGCAAAAGATTCTGGCGGCGCCCATGTCGTTCTTTGACGCTTCGCCCACAGGGCGAGTCTTGAATCGCTTCCTGCAAGATTTGCAGAACATTGACAGCTTTGTTCCCAACTCCATCTCAGACCAAATCGTGAAAACGCTGAATATCGTGACGCAGCTGTCCTTGGTCTATATCGAGGCTCCCTGGGTGCTTTGCACCCTGCCAGTGCTGGCGGTTCCATATTCAATGATCTACAAGCGCATGCGCATCCCCAACCGGGACAGCCGGCGTTTGGAAAGCGCAGCCAGAAGTCCTGTGTACACGCACTTCAATGACACCCTGCACGGCCGTGAGACCTTGCGCGCATTTGGTGCAGAGGACGGGCACGGGCGGGAGAGAGAGAGGGCGAGAGAGAGGGAGATTTGGCGCTTGTGCGGCACAGAGGGTCTGGGGGCGTCAAGGCGTCACCTGCCTTCCGTAGACCCTTGGACCCAGGCGCGCTTCGAGCGGGAGAATTTGCGGCACATCGGCGTGATGTCGCAGGGGCTCTATGGGAACCAGGCGGTTTCAAAGTGGGCCCAGGCGCTCACGACGCAGTGGGGCTGTGTGCTGTACTGTGCATCTGCCTTTGTGTGTGTGGAGCTGGCCCGGAAAGGGCAGATGCCTGCTGGCCATGTGGGTTTGGTACTTTTGTATTCTGCTCAGCTGCAAAGGGGCATGATGGACTACATGACGCGCGACTCAAATTTCTCAAATGGCCAAATGTTGTTCTTCGCATGGTTGCTCCACCCCTTTTGTTGAAAGGTAGGTGCAACGGTCGGTGGCTTGATGTTGCTGAGGATGGGCGCGGCAGATGTGGAGACAAAATTTGTCTCTGTGGAGCGAGTGGCCGAGTATGTGCGACTAGAGGGTGAAACGGAAGGAGCTTCGGTGGTAGAGAATTGGCCCAAGGGAGAGGTGAAGCTGGAAGCTGCACCTTGGCATCACCTCTCGTTTCTTCATCTTTAGCGCGGGTGCCTAGGCCCTGCCACAAAGCCCTTTGTTCATCTTTGCTCCTTTCACTTGCCACGAAGCCATGAATCAGTGAAGAGGTGGCCATGCGGTACCGCCTGCACCGCGACCTTGTCCTTCGAGGCATTGACCTCCACATCCCCACGAAGTCAAAGTTGGCGTTCTGCGGCCGGACGGGCTGTGGGAAGAGCTCCCTCTTCAGCGCCCTAAATCGTCTCTACCCCCTGGCCGCCGGGCGGGTCATCATCGATGGCATCGACATCAGCACCCTGCCCCTGCGCACGCTTCGTGCCAACGTCCGAGTGGTGTCCCAAGAGTCCTTCCTCATTTCTGGCTCGCTGCGGCAAAATCTCACCATGGGCGCGAGCGCAGCGCGCGCTCACCCGGACGATGTCCTGTGGCATTGCCTTCGGATCGTGGGCCTAGAGGACAAGGTTAGGTCGCTTCCCAACAGCTTAGACTTCGCCGTGGAAACGGCAGGCCAGAACTTTTCGGTGGGCGAGCGGCAACTGGTAACCTTGGCCAGGGTTCTGGTGCCTGGTGAGCCCTGTGATTTTGCGAACTGGACACCTCCAAAGATCCTCCTTTGTGACGAAGCCACTGCCAACATCGACGTGATCACCGATGAGAAGGCCGTGCACCGTTGCGTTTGCCGAGCCAAGGTAAAGCATTCATAGACAAATCAAGATAAATTGCACGGCAGGTCCACGATGTTGTGCTCGGCCTGGATGCCACCGTGATGATGATCTGCCACCGGCTGCAGCACATCAGCCGCTTCCAGCAGGCAGTCCCAGAGAGCACCAGATCTGAGAGCTGAAGCCGAAGTTTGCTGGACACTCTCTGCGTCTCTTTACTCTTTGCTTGTTGCCATGGCCATGCACGGCGCAAGCAGCTTGTGAGCTTTGCATGGCCAGGTCGTTGTGCTGGATGCGGGGAAGCTTGTGGAGCACGGGTCGCCCGACGTCCTTTTGGATTCCTCAAGGCAGGAGTTGAGATTCGAAAGCTTTGCCTGCCGAAGCTCAGCTCACAATTCGCCAACAGGCTTTGGCATTCGTCGGCATTGTCACATATTGTCACATCGTGCCCGGTTGGCGCAGAATCGTGCACTGTCATGGCCGCAGGACGACGCCCAGCCACTTGGCGCGCCTCTGCGCGGCTGCCGGGCTGTGAATGTACAGATGGCTCGTGATCTCGTGGCGCAAGTTGGAATCTGCCGAGTGTGCATGTCTCACTGACCCGAGATGCCCCAAAAGCGGATTCGGAGAAGTGCAAATCAGGTTGAGGTGGACCAATGACGGAGAGCGGTAATTGAGCCTTGAACACCCGCACTGGAGGCGCACACCGTGTTCGTGAGACTTCCTGGCTGCGTGTCACCCACGCTTTCGCACCGCTGCCCTGTTTGGAGTTCGGTGGGTGCCTTTTGAGGCCTCTCTTGGGCTGTTGGAGGCTGGTTTGGGTCTGGGGCTATAGGCCGACCTCGAATTGCGGGTCCCCCGTTTCTCCCGTGTCCCCTGGCAAGAAGATCCGTGGGGACCTTAAAGGACCTTAAAGGACCTTAGTCGATCTTGGGCTTTTGGCCGAACCTGAGAGTTCGCGAGGCCGAAATGCGGCTGCCTTGGGAATCCCCTTGGACCTTCGAGGGCAGACCATCGCTGTGGGAGTGCCAGCCCCCACCTCAGCACCGGCCTGGCATGCCTGAATTTCCTGGCGCCTTTGATTCAATGGGCAAAGGCGAGATTTTTCTAATATATAGCATGTTGGTTTTTAGGAACATATAGATGTGCAAATATATCTAGATCCAGTTTCATCTTCTCTTTAGGCCGGTTCAGCAAGTTTCTTACCAGCCGAGGTTCGCACCATTGCAGGGGACATCATGGCACCCTCCCCTGTAGCGATCACAGGCGCGTGTGTTTCATTTTCTCAGCTCCGAACCTGCGAATTGCCCGAATTGCCTCGTATGTCGGAGGCCATGGGCTCAACTTCGGGAGCCCAGGTGCGGTGAGAGGGTCCAATCTTTTCTCGGGCTCTGAGTTTCTTGCCCCAAGGCCCGATGCAAACTCTCAAGAAGGTGGTCCGGGGCGGCGCCTGAAGGAGATGCGGTCAATAGTGGGAGATGCTGTAAAGAGACTCGAAAGTGCAGCTTCGAAGCAGTGGGACACTGGCACTGGTGCTGACGTTTGTGCTTCCCAAGGGTTTGGCCCGCGGTTCGGCTTGAACAGTGGCGGTTGCTATAGCACCCCTTGGTATGCCTCAGCAATTCTTGCCTTGTGCGCGCATTTGAGCGTGCAACTTGCACAGTGCTACGCCCCACAGTGCTTCCTTTGCAGAGCGTGCCTCAGCGCCGGGGCGCTGCTCTGGCCCTGAGGCATAGCATAGCACAGAGGCCCCACGGGGGCTTTAGGGCTCGGCTCGTCTCGGTCCTGAGCCACGAGTTGCCTCATAGGGACGCTCGGAGCGCGGGCTATGGCGGAGAATCCGCGGGACGAAGCTGAAGGCCCCCGACACAACCGCTTGATGCGTAAAAGTTCGGGAATCGTGAGGGTTCAGTGGAGTTTCAGCACTTGGCAAAGTGGAAGCTAAGCAGCCGCATGCGATGCACCCACTGGCAGCTGTTGAGTTTTGTGCGAGAACGCCATCGCAGCGTTTGAGTTTGAGCTGGTAAGACGCTGAGCAGAAAGGCTCAGCGCAGGCGGGAACATGAATTCGCCTGTTGCACTTGCCAATGTGCAGATGTGCTTGCTGGTCATGTCTGACAATCGCAAGGCACAAATGATGTACGATGAGAAGACCAAGGCAAGCGTGCGACCGCGGAAGATGGGGTGTTTCAAGGAATGTTAGCTCTGGATTAATCATCCCGGGGTTGTGTTTGTGGGCATCCTTCACTTTTGTGTGTGACACCCCCCTAGGATGGGTTTATTCATCCCAATCATGAGGCTGGAAAGGCAAAGAGTGGTTCGGAAGCGCAGATGCGCCAAAGTGGATCCGTAGCGCATGCGTCACACTATTCTTTTGCGGGATTCTTTTCTTTTCTGCGTGAGGTAAGGCCCTAGCATTAAAAAGCACCACAAAGGCTGCACAGTGCGAATGAGGAACACCAATATTTTCCGCTCAGCTTGACATCTAGGAGTGCACCCTTTGCCATTCCACGTGCTGGTCCACCACAAGGGCATACAGCGGCATACAACACTTGCCGAGCTTTTTTGGAGACCCTTTGACAGTGTGCAGTTTTGCAGTACTTGGCCGTTGCTAGCTGGGTGAGTTAGCTGCAGGCAGCAGTGCAGAAGATCCCGCTTCTGACGGTGAAAGCAGGGCCTCGCGATGGCCCAGACTGGGTGCGCGCCGGTGAGGTTGAACATGATGCATCATTGATTCATCACGATTGAGCCCAGTCGAGGTTGAGCGCCTCAAAGAAGAGCTCGGTGCGCTGATCAAGTACGTCCAAAACAGCAAGGCCGAAAGCGCGGCGTGTCGCTCGAGAGTGACAAGAGTAGTGAGAACAACTGCAAAGGAAAATGACAACGATTGGTTCCACATAGAGCCCAGTGAGGCGTGGCCCGGACAGTGTGTGATGGGACGGTTTTAGTCTGACATCCAGACAGCTTGTACAGCTTGGAGTTGGGCAGGATGGCACGAAGTGGTCCGGCACATGCTGGCTCACTGCTCAGAAGCCTCGCAATCAGATAAGCTGTGCGAGCCGTCAGGTATATCCACAACCTCCTGAAGTACGAGTTCAAGCTTCAGTTCGAGGCGCAAGGGAGGCTGAGACGCCTGAGAGCTCTCGCATCAGATTCCCGCCGGCTATCCCGCCGTCCCCATTGAACTGGCCCAGTCCTTGGCGATGTGGCCGCATGTGAAGCAACAAGCCGTAAGCCGTCCAGGAGCTGCCGGAGCTGGACGGAAAGACCCCGAAAATGTGCCCGGGGTTGGGGCATTCACATGGGAGTGAGCGAAGCCAGGTACAGAGGAGGCAAGATTTGCTTGGACATCCATTTTGCGCCGCTTTGGAGGCCCGTTTGCCTTTTGATTGGCTGCACGGCTTCTTGACCGCCAGGGCAAATGTCCCCAAGTTCGGCATTGCGCACGCCCTGTCGCTGGCCTGGCGCCCAAGACCTGAGCGATGTGATTAGTCGCACGTGCTTACGTGCTTACGTGCTTGAGGCCCTCGGGCCCTGGCTAGCTGCAGAAATCCCCTATTTGATCGAAAACGGGGTGGTGGCCCACAAAGGGCGCGGCGCTCGTTCCGTACCGTTCCGTGAAACCTCAGGAGGTGCTTGAGACATCTTGAGACTTCCTCCGAGGACTGGCGCCGAACCCAACCAGGGCTTCCCACGCTGTTGAGATTGCGCTGTGTACCGCGCGTGAGGTGAGCGTGAGCTCCTGGTGTACAGCAAACCTGACGCGAAAAATGCGAGAGAGTGCAATCGACGTGACACGATTGGTGCTGCATATTTGCCGCCGCCAGATTTGAGTCAATGAGGGCACAACAGGAAGGCCAGAACACGGCCTCGCGTTAATTTTCATGTCGGCCTATGGCGCTTGGCCGCATCAAGAGGAGGCTTTGGCACGAGCGCTGGAACAAAATATTATCTTGAACCAGCCGACGGGCAGCGGGAAGACATTGGTTGCGTCGTCACCTCAGCCCACAGCGATGTCAGGATATGTCAGGTGTGCTTTTCGTTTTGAGCTGTTCAGAGGGGGACATCGGTCCATTGCTTTCCTTTGAGGTGCATGCTGCTGGACTCCTTGGCAAAAGAGGGGTCGGTGAGCCTCTTTGTCGTGAACAGCAGGGCGCTGGTCCCTCAGCAGGCTGAATATCTCAAAGGGCACTCCCGCGGCGGCCTTGTGGTTGCTGTTGATCTCACACATGTCCGAGCTCCAGATGTATCTTGGCCTCAAAACTCCAGGCAGCGCGCAATACATAGCTGTCAACACCTAGGAAGGCTGGTTGTTTTCTTTGCCGACTCAGGTCTTTGTTGCGACGGCAGAAGTGGCGCGATCAGCGCTGGAGTCTGGACAGGTTGACGCTCGGTGCCTGGCCTGCGTGGTGTTGGATGAGGCCCACTATGCCACAGGCCGCCTTGGCTGCCTGAGCTAAGCCGCGGTTCGGGGGCTCTGTGTGAGGCCGCCACCCATATGCCGAGATCATAGCCCTTCTTCGGTCCGTGGGCGTGTCACCACGGATTCTGGGCTTGACCGCAAGCTTCATGCATGGGCGAGCCGGGCTCCAGGCCAGGCAGTTTGGGCATCTCTTCGGGTTCGATGCATGGCCGAGTCTGAGTTAGGCAAGCGAGAAGCGGCTCAGCGATCTCGAGGAGCTGCTGGCCGCAAAGGTGTTCTCGCCGGAGGCCTGCAACATGCGACATGCTGCGACATGCTGCGACATGAGACCCCGTGCACGAGGTGCCTGGTGTCCAGCACAGTTTCTTCTCGGTGCCGTGGACCTGCCACACGTTAGCTGAAGGCACGTCGAGGCGTGAGCCGTGAAGCGTCAGGTTTGCAACGGGGACCTTGGAGCTCACCAGGGCTGCAGCCTTTGAGGCTGAGTTGGAGGCAATCCTGGGTGCAACCCTCAAGGCAGGGATTGTGTGGAGCAATGGTTCAGCCAGACGGCTGCCAGGACTGCCAGAACTGGGAGTTGTGGACCGCGGTGGAGAAGGAGAAAACTCGTTTGAGAGGTGTGCTGGAAGCTGTGGGGCCTGCTGGCTGGCACGGTTTTGTAGCTTGGCCTCTAAGCAATTCTAAGCATCAAGTAGCATGGAACCTTGACACTTTTCAAACGACAACTTGCAACTGTGGCAGGTATGCCATGCACTTCCAGAGGTTGTAGCAGCCAAGCTTCAGAGTAAGCTCGGGGCCATAGACGACGAGCAGACAAAAACGAATTTGCAGGCAGGCATCGCACTGGTGCGACCATTTCAGCAGTCAGTGCTTGCACTTGCAGAGCACGGCCAGCACTGGGAAGAGACCACCGGGAAGTTCGACGCGCTGTTGGCCTTGTTGCGACGCATGTTGGGACGCTCGGAGGACAAGATCCTGGTGTTCGTTGAGCGCGTCTCAGTGGCTTGTGTCATGGCGCGGATCATCTCCGCCCGCCTCGTGGAGGCCAAGCACGTGGCTGGAGTGCAGGGAATGGACGATGTAACCCGGAGCTCAAGCCTGGCCAGGTTTAGGTCAACTTGCCGCATCATGGTCTCCACGTCCTCCTTGGAGGAGGGCTTGGACGTTCCGGCTTGCAGGTTTGTGATTCGCTACGACAGCTTCAGCAGTGCCAAGAGTCACGTCCAGGGCTCTGGTCGTGCGCGGCATCCAGAGGCGGAGGTGTATTACTTCGAGAACGACGTCGCGCAGGAGGAAGCCGCGCGCCAGCAGCTGGAGGCCATCGCCCGCCACGAGCCGCGCGCTGTTCTCGCGCAAGGCTATGGCCATACGCCACCAGCAGCTGCAAACACTTCGGGCACTGCAGGTGTTGGAACCGGGCATCGGTGGGGCGCAGAGTCCACGATGTGGGACTACCGTTGCAACAAGTCTTTCCGGGGCATGGCTTGTGCTTGTGGGAGCCAGCTTCGCATTACCAGCCGCGCTTACGGCCAAGGGCGCAAGAAGAAGGAGCGAATTTTCATCATGGAAGGGCCTGTAGCCTGTCCCATGTTTTCAGACAGCTTAGACGATCGATTTGCCGGGATTGATCCAGCCACCGGCATTCTGCGAGATGAAAATGCAAATTGTTCCCTGGTGATATACAAGTCCTGCTTTGCACAAAAACAAAGTATTTTGGCCGTTTTGCCTTTGTGTCATTTTGCGCGACTTCATTCATAGGCATCCTGGATGGCCGTTTCAGCTTCAAGCCTGTCCTGTTGCCTCGGGAGACGCGAAGTTGAACAGCGCAGCTGGGAATTGGCAAGCCGAGTTGCAATTCTAGTGAGCTGCTGGAAGCTGCGACGGATGGCTTCCAAGTCACCCGCAACTTTTTGAGGGCAAAGCAGCACACCCGGAAGGTTTCGGTTTTTTGCCAACGTTTCGCGCTTGGCCATGGCCTGGGCGCCATGGCTGAGAACTCCCAGATCTTCACAGCGGTTCGTAGGGCTGGCGGCGAGGACCCGGCGCAAAGCCTCCTGTTGACCATCCGTCCAAGATTCAAAACCAAGCTGTATACAAAGCTCTCTCCAACACTGAGTGCTCGCAGGAGGCAGAGCTGCACCCTCTGGCAGACATCACGAACAAGGAGATTGAGGAGGTGAAGCAGCTGAAGCACCCACCGCGCGAAGTCGCACGGGTCATGGAGGTCGTCCATTTATTGCTCACGCAGACACTGCCTTCCCATTTGGACTGGGCCGACGTGATCCGCACTGTGGTGCGCTTCGACTTTCTGAAGCGCGCGCGGAATATTGATTTGGATGCTCTGCTTCAACAGCCACGCGTCATCGACCACGTTTGCCGCAAGTGCACTTGTCTGAGTTGGCTTTCCCCGGAACGTTTTTCTCCTTAGCTGTGGGACCGCGGATGCTTTTGAGTAGGCGCGTTTGTGAAGGCTGAAGCTGAAAATCCAGTCGTCTTTCGTGGAGTCTAGCTCATTTTTCTTCAAACAGCGTTCCTACACCAAGTTGCCAAGGGGTCCTTACGGTAAGAGTAAGGGGCCGGGGTTAGATCAGGGTGCTTGCTCCGGTGTGGACCATTCTTTATAGTATTTACGAACAATCGTGACTCTGTGAAATCTGGAGAAGAATGTCGACTGCGCGGGCTCGCGCAAAGTGACGGGCGAGATCTGGGGCGTGCTTTTCGGGCTGCGTAGCGTCGCGCAAAAGCTCTTGTGAGATGTTCATGACTGCGCAGGCTCGCGCAAAGTGGTGGGCTTGTTTTGTGCCCGTGTGGCGCTCGTTCCGAAAACGGTTGGTGAACCCTCTTGGGCGCGTTGCTCTCGCTGTGGCGCGGTGCAAATGCTTAACATCGCAGTGAACCGTCTGCTGACTTTGGGTGGGTCGGACAACCCTTGCTGTGGCAGGGTGCGCGGTTTGAGCATCGAAAGTGAGCCCTCTGGACTTTCGGCGGGTCGGATCGCCCGGGTGTGGGGCGAACATTGAAGCGCAAATGAGCCCTTTGCCCTCTGCCGTTGGGCGGGTCGGATTGCTCTCGCTGCGGAGCGGTCGCGGATTTTTAGCATTGAGGCTGAGCGACTCGCTGTGGCACGTGTGCAAGTTTCTTTCATTGAGGCACCAGGGCCCGCAAATAGGCTCTTGCAAGAGATGTTGTAGATCTCGCCGGAGAACTTCAACGCGCAGAGGAAGCCTCTCAGGGAGCCTTCCGAGTTCCGGGGGCAGGAAGTGCTGGTGGTTACGTGGGATTCCGACGGGGTCATTTGAGCCGTTTTCACCTACAGAATGGTTGGCAGTCCATTGCCATCTCACTGCTGCTGCATGCATCTCCAGTTCAGTTTCTTGTGGGGTCAACGCAGAAGTATATTGCCTGTTCGCATGTGGCGCAGATGTTTCACTTGCGGATAGTTGTTCACCCGAGTATTCCAATAACGAGTGAAAATTGGCTGGTTACTGGACTTCCTGGCTGCCTGCTCAGTGATGCTGCGCAGAGATCTTGCCAAGGGATCCTTTCAGGAGATCTTGAGCAAGAAGTCCTCTGATGGATCTTGACACAACTTCTGCCAAGATACCCTACCCAGGCATCTTGCGTTGAGATCCTGCAAAGACCCTGTAAAGGTCCTTCGTGGAGCGGATTCCTCCTAAGAGGTCTTGCGCAGACCCTGTCAGGGATTCTGCGCACAAATCGCTCCAAGACATCTTGCCAGACATCCTGTCGAGAGATGTCGAGAGATCATGCCCAGAGATATTGCTAAGAGGCGCAGAGGCCCATACAGTCTAAAAGGTATAGAGGCCTCCCATGAGGTCTTGCGCGCTTTCAAGAGGTCTTGTAGAGGGTCCGCCCTGCTCGTGTCGCGCAGGGTTGTAAGGATCCTGGCCGGGAGATCCTACCAATAGATTGATATAAATTGTTCCCACGCATCTTTCGCTGAATATCTTCCCGCAAATACCTGAAGACTCTTGCGCTGGTCCTGCGTACAGGACCCACTCAACAGGTCTTGCGCAGGACTTGCCAAGGTTTCATGTCGAGACATCTTGAAGAGAACGCCCTCTACTCTACAGATCCTGAAGAGAGTGCTTGTAGAACGTTCTCTCGGAGACCCTGCGCGCAGACCTGGCCAAGAGATCCTATCAAAGACTTTTTCCACAGATCCTGTAAGATCCTTCGGCAGAGATCTTGCCCAGGAATTTGCACACGTACAAGAGGCTTCGGCTGGTGGCACGGGGAAGTGCTGGTTGTCACCTTAGGTACTTTGCGGGCGGCGATCCGTTGACGCCGGACAGAGTGCGGTGGGCAAGCAAGGCCGAATTCTGATGGTTGTGGCCTACCAGTCTCGGAATGCTCGCCTTAGGCAGTGGTCGCCTTTTTCGGGTGGACGGTGGCCATCATCGCGGGCATTTTGCCAGCCTTTCCCGAAAAGGCGCAGACAGACAAATTGCTTGCTGCTTGCACCCCGACGCTCTTTTCCCAGGTGGGTGGCGAGGAAGCCCGTCGCAGGATTCAGCTCTTGGACCAGGATTGGCTTGAGAGGTGTCAAAAGGGTAGGTGGGGTTGGGCGGGTTGATTGTGGCCAGGAGTTGAAAGAGCAGAGGCGCCGAGAGTCTGAGCAGCAGAAGTTGGCTGAGCAGCAAAAGGACGGTGTGGAACAAAGCTGGCGAGACGCGGGTGTTTGAATCCTGCCAGGAGATGCGTAAGCGTGAAGTGGAAGAGGAGGCCAGGCGCGCACGGGTATGAGCCTAGCCCTTACCGAGCCAACCCGTGCCCGATGCGCGCGAGGCTGTAGCCAAAGAGGAGCGCCGCCAAGCCGAGGCAGGCAGTTCTGCAAGCTTTTACAACTTTCTGAAGTACTTTATTCATATATAATATGTTCTACCCCGCCTCCAGAACTAGAATCTAGGGATGGTCCACAACGCCTCTATATTTTGGAGCCTGGAGTCCTCCGAAATGTCCCAATATGATATCCTTGCCAACTGGGATATTGCATCAAGTTGATATGGAAATAGGCTTCCACGATTTGTTTTTGTTCAATTGAAATATCAATGCTCAACTCCTTCCGAAATAGGAGATCATTTCCAATGTAAGTTGATTTTCGGTAAATTTCAACCAATCTCAACAATACATTCACATAGGACTTTCTTCCCACAAATTGTTTAATTCTGAAGTTTTTTCTAATTCGATCATAATTGAATGAGTTAAATCTCCAATAAACATCGTATTAAGTATAACTAGGCGTTTAAGGGTCTTCTACAAGGACATCCGAAATGGAATTTGTGTTATTTACACCATGGCCCCTTTGTAGCATAAGAATGGTGCGAAGTTAAACTTGTTAGACGGCGTTCCACAATGGGCATTTCAAGGGGCTAGAGGTTCAAATTCTAAGTTTCTCTCGACACCAGGTATTCTATAGAGTCTTAATCTAATGGGGCAGGACATCATAACTCATTCTATCTCAAAAGGCGGAGGTAGTAGATGAAGCACTTGAACGTTTGTCTAAGGACTTGACAGCTTTTCCACTTGATCGGTAACCACTTGAAAGTATCTTGTTACTGGATTGAAGATTCAATATTGAAGATTGCAGAGCACGCTTTCCTGATAATCGTCAAGCCTGGCCAACCCAAAAACTTGCAAGTTGTTCCGAACCCTCGAATGTATTTTACCACTGGATTGAAGATTCAGGATTGAAATCTTTCACAGACCCTTTTTCGATAATCTTGTCCTCGCACTTTGAATCCAGCCATGGCGGGAACTGCATCTGACTGCAGACGGATGCGTGCACTTGGTTGCAGAAGTATGTATTGGAAACCTGGAGTATTGGGACAGCACTACTATTTATAGAAAGTTTCACACATTCTGGGATGCAGACTAGTTTTGTCTCAATGCTTAGAGATAGACTCTGTCAGATAACAGGTGCTGAAATCATTGTTTACACTACATATGGCCGACTTGGCAGCCTCAAAATGAGCAGGGTTCCCTAGTGTTCTCATTTTGCTTTTGAGGGGGTTCGCGGGGAACGCGGGAATTCTTAGATCTAAGGCCTTTAGCCTTGGGAAGGGCTAAGACGAACACTTCAATAAGCTGAAGCTTGATCTAGGAATCCACCTCAAGAAAGCTTGTTACTCACAACTCAAAGGAGTCGGATTAAAGGGGATCAGGACATACCCCCTTTGTGCGACTGGCTGTTACTTTCACCTGTGAGCCCAGAAACAAGAAAAGTAGACAGCAAACAAAACAGGGTTTGCCAGAAGAAGGGTGCCCCTGGGACCAGAAGAGGAAAACCAGAAGCACAAAATGACAAAACAAAGCCATGTCCAGCATCTGACATAGACCTGGTTCTCTGTTTCTCTACAACAGCAATGGGAACAAACACAACCAGACAAGAGCAGAAACCAGAGAACCAGAGTTTATGACCGATGCTAGATGTGGCTACTCTTCTTCTGGATGGAGGACCTAGTTGCCCAGATAAGTTCTGGGGGTGGAGGCCTAGTGAGTTCGAGCAAGGTTCGGAAGGTTTGGGGTGGTCTGGCTCAGGCCAGGTCTCAACGTTCCGGAGGTCGCCGGGCGTTCCGGAAATTCCAGGTTGTTTGGTGGTAAGGCTCAGCCCAGATAGGCTCCAGGGTGGTCCGGCCCTGTGCACCATTTCTACGCACGAGGGCCCTGGGAAATTTACCGATGGACGGGAGGGCTTCGCTAGGGTGACATACGTCGCATCCAGCCCGCAAGCTGAGCATGAAGCTTCGCCATTTGCTGGACCCATACGGGCGTGGTGCTGTTGGGGATATCAGCCGGGCTTATTTTGTGTTTTTTTGGCTTTTCTCATATTGCGGGTCCGGGGGTACCAGGTTGCACTTGTGTTTTGTTCACGTTTTGTTTCTTCATAATACATGCGGGCCGAATGGCCGTATGGCTCAAGATTTCCGACTCCCAACGAGTTATTATTGCAGTGATTGCGCCCACCTGTGCCGACAACCTAGGGATGACTGGCAGCTGATTGCAAGTCTTTTGCTGGTTCATGTTTGCCTTGGTCAATTGGTTTGGCTCAATCGGTGCCCATTGACTGCTGCTATGATTGCACCCGCGTGACGGGGTTTCAGTTATTCTAGGTTTTGCCTCATTGCAAAATCACATTTGCCAAACCTAGCAGTTGTGAGGATTATTTGCTTGGTGGTAGGCGAAGGGATGTGGCCCGGTCAACTCATGACTGTCCATGATTGACTCTTTGTCTCCCTGTTTGACTGCGCACCCGCCCTAACGAATCGATCCAAAGACTAGAGAAGGGGTTTGAGTCCAAAAACCCTCACAATACTGGGCAAAGGCAAAGGTAATGTTATATAGAGGCAAAGCCGAGAATAGTTGGCAGGTGGTAGGTGGAATATGCTGAGCAGAACACAAACCGCAGTTTATTAAAGAGCAAAATCCAATAGTAATTGGCTTGCTAGGCGCCCCACCAATCTCAAACACTGCTGCACACACCAACACATAATCTCCCGAAAAGGCAAAACTCAGAATAGGACCACCAATCCAACCCGCCGATTCGAGCCAAGTTGAGGGTACCCTTCTTTGAGGACTCCGGCTTTTTCCAAACGTTTCATTTTTTTCGCGCGTCTCGTGCTACACATATATATATATATATATATACACCTGTATCCGGTCTTCGGAAAGGAGCGACGGGTGGAGCTGCAGAAGCAGGAGCTTCAAAGACAGGTCGAGCTGGATGCGAAGGAAATGGCAGCCCAAGAGGAGGCGCGCCAAAGGCAGATCTTCGACCAGGCCAGGGCCATCGGGCAGCCGTCGGGCAGCCGTCGGGCAGCCGTTCGAGACGTCAAATCCCAACGGATGGGCACCACGTGCGGAATGGCATGGAATGGCACAGGCGCAGGCAGAGCAAGAGAGAAGGATCAAGGCCAAGCAGCAGAAGCGCGATGCGAAAATGAAGCCGCCTCCTCGCCCGGAAAGCTTGTTGAAGTTGGAACAAACATGCATGAGGCAGAAAAAGCGACGAATGCTCGACCTGGACAGTGACGAGTCTGGATCTGAGGCAGGTGGCGACTTCAAGAATTCTCAACTTGGCACAACTTACCAAGCTCAGCTGCAGGCAGAGCGAGAACGTGGCATTTGGAATGCCAACAATCCAGACATTCGTTTCCTGGGTATTGAAGGCTCTGCAAGTCTGGTTGCAAGCACAGCGCGTGAGATTGGGGAGAAACGCCAGTGTTGCATTTGTGGGGGCTGCCAAGTTGACTTGAGGTGCCCACGTGACATTCCTGTCCGACCAGTTTGCAGACCACTGTGCTGTCTTAACTTTACGCCCCATTTTCTACGGCCAGCACTTCTTCGAGTTTGTGGTTCACCATTTCAGTGACCTGCCCTGCAATCTGCAGACTTTCTGCGAGAGGCGCAGTTGGGTCTTTGGTTTGGTGTTGCAGTTTGGCCGAGGTGATCAGCTGCGGTGCGGAATCACCACAGATGCGGTGCAGGCTGGCCAAGAAAGGCCGCATTGCCATTGCAGCCCGCTGAGATATGCTCAGGCTGGCGCACTGGTGGCCGGCCACAACCTGAGGGGCTGGTGCTGCTCGGTTTGCAGCCCATGCGTGGGCAACTTCGCGGAGTTTGAGCGATGTTGAACAGAGCTGCCCCGAACGCAACAAGGATCAAAGAAACCCGAGGCTATGCTGGCAGAGCAAAGGATTTGAGCGCCGGCCTACAAATCAACAGCAAGGTGCCGAAGCGAAGTTGTTGTTCGGAGTTTGAGCGATGCTGCGATGCTGCGATGCTGGCTCTGCCCTGCACTTGACATGCGAGAAAATGCCGCTAGGTTGTTCAGAGCTTCTCCCACATTGCTGATGGGGATGCCATTGGGGTGCTTGTGGACGCGGACTGGGCGATCTGACGACTTGACATTTTGCAGCACAGTTGGGCTGCCTGGGTTGGGGCAGTTGTAGCAGGACAGGTGGTCTGTTGCCTTCCTGCGGAACCGCGTGCTGGAGGGAAGCTGCAGCATGACAACTCCAACTCGTGAGTCGACGGTCTGGCCTGTTTGCTGCGCCCGCTTGATCCTCGCCTCCCTAGCAAGCCTTGGCTAAGGATCTTTGTGATCGCTCATTTGGATGCAGCGGGCGACCATGTAGAGCTGCGCAAGCTCCCACTACAAGAAGCGCCGTCACAAGCAATGGCGGAGCTGACCTCCTACTCGCCGCCTTCCTGGGCTTTGCTGGTGAGCGATTGCTCCCTCTCCGAGTCTGAATCTGAAAGCGTGGGCCTGAGCTGAGGGTTTCGGACAGGGCTGCGGTGACATAGGCAAACAACACTAAGCTGTGCCGATACTCGCGCCTTGACTTGGGCGACGCTCCGGGGTTTGACCCAAGGTGTTTTTTCCTCAAAGCAGGGGTTTTCCTTGGACATCCCGCAAATGCCGCTAGAAGTGTGAATGGTGGCTCTGCCAGTGTTTGAAGCCGTCACTCTGAGGTGGTGAGCGCGGCCTGCCGAGCTCGGAGCCATGCACGGCCCATGGTCAAAGCGTTGGCCGGAGCCAAGGTGACCAAGGCACACTGCGACGCCTGCCGTGCAAAAGCCAGAGCCAGCCCGGCCTTGCTCGGGAAGTGCCCGTCCGAGAATGCTTTGAGGGGGCCCGCGAGCGGGCGGCACGCGAGCCAAGCCATTCCAAGTCGTTCAGTGGGCGAAATCCTCTGGCAGCGGCGGGCGCCATGCTTTCGCGGCCGCAGAGCCCAGTGCAACCAGTGCCACGAGCACCACCCGCGCACATGCCGAGTCTGAAAGCGCAACTCCGAGAGCTGAAGGAGTGCTTTGACGAAGGGCTGCTGACGTTCGAAGAGTTCCAGCAGGCGACTTGTGCTTTGGGCGATGGAATCTCTTGGCTTTTTCTATTTCAGATTCTATTTCGGAACCTCTTCTTTTTTTTTGCCAGGAGAAGGCTGCCGTGCTCCAATCCATGCGGGCGGCTGAAGCCCCTTGGGCCGCGGCAACCTCAGAGGCACGCGAGAGCCATCGCATCCGGCCGGAGCCAGACCGGCCGGAGCCCCGGCTGGACCTGCTTGGGCCAGACCGCCTGGACCGCCTGGACCGCCTGGACCGCCTGGACCGCCTGGACTGGACGGATCCTGTCTCCAGCCCCTCTCAGAGCTTGGGGCCCCCGGCGGGCTTGAATTTCTCGGCCCTCCTGAACCACTGTGCGGCAACCTTTGAGGAAAAGACATCGGCACAGCAAAATGCACGGCGCAGGGGTGTGTGCAAGTCCAGAGTTGTCTTGCTCGCAGGGCCTAGTGAGCAGGATTTTGCGACTGTTGCATGTTTGGCTGTGGTTTTTCCGCTCAAGTGGTAGCCGCATGTTATATTTTTCAGAAGCCGTTGTTTTTTTCACGTGCCCTGAGGCTCTCAAGCAAGTACAAAATAAAAATCAATCATCTCCCAGAAATGGATTGCGGCAGCAGCATGCGGGTAAGCACATGCGGCACATGGTCCCTTTCCAGACCTTTGGCAGGCGCTGGTGTCAAGCACGTGTGAATGAAAGCCTCACAAAGCCGCAAGGCTCGCCAACCTGGCCAGCAGCAACACAATGCTCAGACTGGAAAGGGGTTCAGGACGACACTCTGGCCAGCGGGCCATTTTTGCGCCGGGGTTTGCCAGGGTACCCAGCTCTCTGTCTTTGGCGTGGCCTTTCTGGCTTGGTGCCTACTTGCCTCACGTTCTCAAGTGCCAGCAGCTTCGGCACGTACAGATGTCACCAAGGCGGGTGCATATGGAGGCAGATCTCCGAAGGGTTCAAGACCGCTTCGTGCACTGCCCCCCTTTGCAGGCCGCAGAGCTGCAAGGGTCAGGTTGGGATATGGCAAGGAGGTGGGAACTCTGGGAACTCAGTCAAAAAGTCCCTTGAAAACTAGTGAATCTTTGACCAGGTTCCCCCTCCGGCACGGTGGTCTTGGACCGCTGAGCAGCCCTGTCTCGACTTGGGCACTGCATGGCACTGCTCTTTTGCGGCGCCGCATGGCGCATGCCAGGTCATCCGCCACACAGTCAATGTCATCGATCACCCTGCGGCCAGACATCGAGCAGACATCGAGTCATATCGAGTCAGATCGAGCCATTGAGTTTCCAAGGCTCTCATCACTTGTTGGAGCGGCCAGGCCTGACATGCGCATCGGGGAGGTCATCAAAATACTTCTTAGTGGGTCACTTACTCATTGCAGTGCAGTGTCCTTGAGACTCTGGCTTGCAGGTTCCAATGCAGTTTGCGTCGAGGATGGGGCAGACGGAGTGTTCTATGTAAAGGCGTGACCCTTGTGCTGCGTCATGATTCGGTCTTTTACTCAGCAAGCTGCAGGTGTCTGGCGCGGACGATGTAGTGTGTGAGGATGGGGTGAAGGGGTGAAGCGAGCTTGAAGATTCATGTTTCTCAAGCCAAAGCCTGAAGGACATGAAACACATCGCTGGAAAAGATTGTCATGCGAACATTCATGCAGAGCAAGTCGTTGCAGACAAACGCTCGATTTCCGTGTTGGGCATGGACAAGGCGTGCAAAATAAAGTCCGCGCCGAAGTGGGGCCAGGAAGTATGAACAGACCTCATGATCCCTATTAGGACTTGCCATCATGATACGGCCGGTACACCTGGTCGAACAGTTCCTGGGGATTTGCAACATTTTCAGAGCGTTGCGGAGAGCTTCTGGTTGGTGAAGCCTGTCCAGGCTGAAAACCATGTGCCAAGAAACTTGCGGCTTTATTCAATGATTGTGTTGTGAAGAGTTCCGACCTCTTTCCCTTGGCACCTTGGGCACCTCATTGGGGTGCATTGACACGGACCAGTGCAACAAAGCCGCCTCGGCCTTGAAGCTGAAGGACGGCCTCGCCTGCATTTCCTTGGCGGATTTGCTGGAGGCGCCGCGATGTGGAGACCGCACGTGCCCATGACAAGCCGGAGGCCCCCCGCCAACTTCCTCTGAACTGCCTGCTGGGTGGCGGGGAGAAGGCCAGGGGCGTGTCAGCCAGTGGCCAGTTGGCAGAGCACTCGGACTGAGACTGCCTAATTTCAGAGCATGGCCGCGACGCGAGGAGGAGTGCGACCTCTACGCGCTCTCGCCAGAGCCGTTGGCCCCTCAATCAGGGTTGGGTGCCGGAGCGCCGGAGCCTGCAACGAGGTACAAGGAGAAAAACGTTGTCACCGAGCTTTCAGGTCGTTTGCTGACAGCTTAGGTGTGCAGATGCATTGCAGATGCATGTTTGGTGGCTTTCTTCAATGCACATGTGTTCAGGCCGTGGCTCGTTGGCCTTTTGGTGTTCCTGACGGCTGGGCTGCATTGTTGTGCTGATCCTGAGCTGATGGCAACATTGCCAGGTTTCGTCCGCCATCCTTGAATTCTTTGATGGCTTGGTGCAGAAGTGCGCCCAAGAGATCAAATGTTAATTACTAGAGAGTGCGCGTGACAAGCGTTGCACTCAGGCACTTGATCATCGCCTTCTACCTAACTGCCCTTGTGGGCTGTGGTGGCAATGCTGGTTCCCAAGCCGCTTCTCTGGTCCTGCAGGCAATCACAACTGGGTGGCGAACAAGGAAACACATACAAGCAAAATTGTCCTTTGCATGCTCGTTTTGCGCGATGTGCACATTTCTTGGCGCCAAGAAGCTATGAGTCAATTGAGCGGTGGTTGTTGGAGGCCTTGGCGACTGGAGAGCTCGTGCGGCTCCAACGATGTCTGAGGGGTTTCAGAGATAGGAGGGGAGAGGAGGGGAGAGGAGGGGAGAGGAGGGGAGAGGAGGGGAGAGGAGGGGAGGGGAGGGGAACATAGTAGAAAGATTGATTCTAAGGCGGGGAATTTTCAGTTTCAGGGCATTTTTTCAAGATTCCATTGTACCATATCATCGCGCCTGTTCTGTTTTCCCATAAAGGTTAAAAGTATAGTTCTCATAAAATGTTAAAATGTTTTGTCTTGGGTAGGTTTTCTATAAGACTGTAAACATGGTGACTAATAATATCATAATTACATAATATTATCAATCTAATCACTGTTCTACTTCACTCTCTTTATTTAGGTTCTTCTTATGTTTAATTGTTTCTTCGTGTCTTGATTTCTGATGTGCCACAAACTCAGTTTTACAAATAGGACATTCAACTTTTACCTTAAACCGTTCTCTTTGTTTTTCTAAAATAACATCTCTGTTATTGTCATAATATTCTTTATTTGCTTGTTTGATTTGTTCCTTCTTTCTTTCTCTGTAATGTTTGCCCTGTTCTTGTATTTTTCCTTTGTTTTGTTCTCGGTATTGCTTTCTAAGTACTTTTATGTCCTCTTTGTTGTTTTCATAATATTCCTTTGCCTGTTGCCTTTCCTTTTCTCGGTTCTCTCTATGCTTCTCTCTACTTTTCTCACCACAACCAGTACACAGTTTTTTATTATCAGTAAATTCTACATCAGGACTTGACTTTTTACACCAACTACATTTTCGCTCATTTTGTTCCTCCATAATATTTATACCCATTATCCCTTTAAATGTTCTTGGGGAAATCAATATAACTTTTTTACATTTTTTTCATTTAACAACAGTCTAAGATTTCAGGTTTCAGACAATTTTATGGCTTTCTGGGGGACACATCAAAGGTGCAAAATTGTGCCCTTATGTAAGATTTAAAGAGCAATCTTGACCATTCACGGAAACCCGTGAAAAAGCACATTCATTCACAGAAATTCGTGAATTAGTTTACACGGAAACCCGTGAATGGCTTTCACAGAAACCCGTGAAAAAAACACTCATTCAGAGAACTCCGTGAAAGGCCACCTGCAACCTCAAACCCAGACCCACCAGCAACCCGCCCCCAAAAAGGACTTAAAGAGAAAATACTATATATAGTATAGAGAAATGGCAGGGGAATACAGTGCGGGTTCAGTAATTGAATATTTAATATCCAATAATGAAGGTCAAATAACAAACAGGGAAGAAAACCATTGAAAAAACTAATCATCAACAACAAAGAATACTATTACAACAAAGACACACCATTATCCTCATCACTTCAAAACAAACTCAATCAAGTCAGCAACGCACAAGGTTTCAAACGATTTAATCTTCTAAAAAAAGCGCATCAAACACAATGAGAGGCATTAAATCAATCCAGAAATACAGATGTAAAATAGGAGCAAAAACATCAGAGACATTTTCGGCATTGAAAGGATATGCCAACACATATTCAATAACCAACATACCATTCAAGGAATACAAAGGATTAACATATCTTTTATGGCAAGAAAATAAACTAACAGAGTTTTTACAACAAGCAAAATCAATGAAACTACTGATTGATGTTGAGGTTCTGTTTGATAAAGTTAATGTAGATGGTGATGAAACAGAAGACACTGTCAGTGCATCAAACACGCTTGGAATATCTACCAAAGATGAAAATGATGTACAAATACAACACAATATGAGAAGCAGGAGATATAACATTCTAAATGTAGGAGACTTGAAAAATGCCTTGGAAAATATGCCTAAAGATATTGAACTACAAATTGAACACTCACCTTTGAAACATTCAGGATTGAAGATTAATAAGATTAACAAAATCACCATCCACTACGACAAATACAATCCAAACAGAGCAGGTAAATGTATGGAACTACCAGAATGGATTTCAAAGAAAAAAGCATGTATCAACATTCAAAATGATGATGAATTATGTTTTAAATATTGTGTTTTATGTAAATTTTATGAAGTCTTCAAGAAAGACCATCCACAACATATGAGACACTACAAGAAATTAATAACTACTGAAAGTCTAATTAATGGGATGGTGTGAATTTTCCAGCATCCAACGATGACATTGACACATTTGAATCAATTAACCAAAATTGTATATCAGTTAATGTTTATGTTGAAGATGTGAACCAAACAAAAATTGAAAGACCATCTTGTCATATTAACTTATTGCGGATTGAAAAAAATAATAACGAACACTATGTTTTAATAAAATATTTTAGTAGATTAGCAGGAAGACAAACAAACAAAACAACCAATAAAATGTTCTTTTGTAGTTTTTGTCAGCATGGTTTCAAGTCAGAAAAACTTTTAAATTCTCACTTAATAAAAGGTTGTATGGCAAATGACATTCAACACACTGAATTACCAGAAGAAGGAACAACAATGAAGTTTGAAAATCATTTTAAGAAACTGAAAGCACCCTTTGTTCTTTACGGTGATTTTGAATGTTTAACAACAGAAACAACAGATGGAATAAAAGGGACCTATCAAAATCATAAACCCAGCGGTTATATGCTTAGCCTTGTTAATGCTTATAGTGGAGAAATGAAACCATTTTTATATAGAGGCGAAGATTGTATAGAATTTTTTTTGTGAAACATTAAACAATATTAGAGACGATGTAATGGAACAAATGAAAAAACCAAAATATATGATTATGTCAGATTTAGATGATTAGACATTTAGAAGCTAAACAGTGTTTCTTATGCAATGAGAATTTCAACAACAAAGTAGAAGCGAAAAAGAAGGTCGCCGACCATTGCCACTTTACTGGATTGTACAGAGGAGCGGCACATATGAAATGCAATATAGACTATTGTTTTAAAATATATCATATACCAGTATTCTTTCACAATCTTAAAAACTATGATGCTCACCTAATAATTTCTAATCTTGAAAAGCTAAACACAACGAAAGAAAGCAGATCAGTAATAGCACAGAACAGTGAGAAGTTTATTGCATTTTCATAAAACAGGCTTGAATTTAAGGATAGTTTCAGTTTCTTGTCATCATCATTAGATAAACTTGTTAAATTGGCAAAGTATGAAGATAATACATTAAGGAACAACTGGCAGGAACATTTCAAATACAGTTTCAAAGGCAAATGCATAAAAGATGAAAAATATTTCTTTTTACTGACAGAAAAGGGAGTTTATCCTTATGAGTATTGTAATGACTTCAATAAAGTTAATGACACTGAACTACCAGAAAAGAAACATTTTTATAGTAGATTAAGTGAAGAAGATATAAGCGATGCTGACTATGAAGGAGCAAAACTAATATGGAACCACTTTAACATCAAAAACCTCGGTGAATATCACGATTTATATTTAGAAGCCGATGTATTACTATTAACCGATGTATATAAAAATTTCAGAAGACAATGCACAACTGATTATGAATTAGACCCCGCCCATTACTACACATTACCTAACTTTGCTTGGGACGCGATGTTATTAAAAACAGGAATTGAACTTGAACTTTTACACGATGAAGAAGTTTATAAAATGATAGAGCAAGGACTAAGAGGTGGTGTGGTTCAATGTGCCTACAAAAAAGCAATTGCTAACAATAAATATATGGGCGAAGATTATGTTAAGTCTAAACCATCTTCATATATTTCATACCTTGATGCTAATAACCTTTATGGATTAGCAATGTGTAAAAAACTACCATATAAGAATATTAAATTTGTGAAAGATAATTTTACAGAAGAAGACATTAAATATTACAATGGTGATTACAGTAGTAAAGGTTATATTTTAGATGTTGATTTAGAATATCCGAAAGAATGCCACGACAAACACATAGATTATCCATTAGCACCAGTAGATATGCTAAGTGATGTTCAAAAACAAATCTATAAAGAATACAATAATGGTAATGACCCGAAAGATGAGAAAACAAACAAATTAACATTAAATGTTATGGACAAACAAAATTATGTTTTACATATTGATATATTAAAATTCTATCTTAAACAAGGAATAAAAATCAAGAAAATAAACAGAGTTATAGAGTTTAGACATAAGCAATGGTTGAAACCGTGGATGATTGACTTTAATACAGAGAAGAGAAAGAACGCTACAAGCGACTTTTCAAAAGATATGTACAAACTAATGAACAACGCTGCATATGGAAAATCAATGCAAAATATAAGAAACCAAATTGACTTTGACCTGGTTGATACTCCTGAACGCTACCAAAAATGTGTAAATAATCCTAATTTCAAATACAGGCATATCATTAATGAAAACCTTATCGGTGTTGAAAAAGCTAAGAGCGTTATAAAACTGAGTAAACCTGTTTATGTTGGAATGTGTATATTGGACTTATCAAAGCAACATATGTATTCTTTTTACTATGATATTTTGAAAAAGAAATATCAAGATAATGTAAGGTTGATTTACACCGATACTGATAGTTTTGTCATTCACACTAAAACCGAAGACATTTATGATGATTTCAATGACATCGCCCATCTTATGGATTTCAGTGCTTATGATGTTGAACACAAATGTTATGATAAAACAAATAAGAAGAAACTGGGTTGCTTTAAGGATGAATGCGATGGCAAAATAATAACTAACTTTATAGCATTGAAACCAAAGTCATATTGTTTCAAAATACTTAATGAAATGACAGAAGAAAAGAAGAGTAAAGGTATTCCCAAACAAAAAGTTAAGAAAGAAATAAGCTACAATCATTACAATGATACATTAGAAAATAACAACTGTGATACAATAACATTCAATTCTATAAGAAGTAAAGCACATCAAATATACAGTGTCAGTCAAACTAAAAACATTATGTAATTTCGACAACAAGAGATATTGGATAGATAATTATAACAGTGTTCCTTATGGTTATTATGGCATAAAAGTTTAATAACCCAATTATAGGAACTTAACAAAAGTAGCGAGTA